ACTTGGATAAGCCATAACTTTCTCAATTTTTATCTCATGATGATGATATTTGACTTTTTGGAAAGCCCAAGATGTCTAATTCAATCTATATTTTGATCAGTTTTGCATTTGAAGACTTTATCTTGATGTAAATGGTCTTGACAAAAAGTGTTTTTTGTTGACTTTTTAAAAATGACCTATAATGTATGAGCTTGTATCTTTCAAATGGTGCATTTCTTGGACTTGAGGGAAAAAGAGAAGTTATGGTGAATCGGATTCTCTTGAAAATGAGCTTTGGTTGGGGAAAATGGATGATGTATGTGAAAGTTATGCCTGGTCAATGTTTAGTTAACTTTTCCTATAGAAATCCTAATTTAGCAATTCTTGACTTTTGATAAATTAGGAGCATTTCTTGAGGAATCACGATCAACCCTTGATCAAATGATGGATATCACTTCAAAATGTTGATGTTGACCAAAAACCTTGAAGTTTGATTGTATATAGGCCACAGTTGACTTTTGACCTAGTACAATTGATTTTCAAACATTTGAGCAATTGACTGAGCAAACTTATAGTGGAAGGCATGAAACATGGCATGGACAATCTTGAAGACATATTAGGACAATGTAAAACATTTTAGACCTTTGGAGCTCACACATCTTGGTGAAAAGTGAAACCCTAATTAGAGGTTCATTGCTTAGAAGGAGAATTTGTCTGGTCAATTCTTGGTCATCCTTGAGCAATTGAAGACCTCAATGAGCATGTCTTGAGTAAAATGGGAGGGAAAATTTTGGGGTACAATAACCCCGAAGGTGCATTTCTCCGGGTTGAACCTCATCTTGCATCGCCTTGCTTGGGCGAAAACTCTTTTGAGGTGGGTAGCATGGTTAGTTTCTGCTCGAGACTTGATCATGTCATCCATGTATACCATAAGTATGTCCCCGATCTCACGCAGAAAACTTTGTTCGTCATCTTCTAGTATGTTGCCCCTGAGTTTTTAGGTCGAAGGACATTATGTTGTAGTAGTAATTGTCCGACCCGGTCATGAAGGCGGTGCAATGTTTGTCGCTCATTTCCATGGGGATTTTATTATAGCCCGAATATGCGTCCATAAATAATAAAATTTTGAAGTCATCCGAGTTATCGACCAACTTGTCAATGTTAGGTAAAGTAAATGCATCTTTGGGACATGTCCGGTTGAGATTAGTGTAGTCAACACACATACGCCATTTCCACTATTTTTCTTAACAAATAAAACGTTGAAGAGTCAGGTTGAATATTGGGCCTCAGAAATAAAATTTTCCTCTAGGAGGTCTTTTACAGCTTTTTCAGTAGCCTCTGCTTTTTCGGGAGACTGTCTACACCTATGTTGTACTATTATCCTAGCGGCTTGATCCATAGCAAGTTGGTAACAGGCGACCTCAGGGTCGAGTCCATGTATCAGCGCACCACACGAACAAAACATGTTTTCCCGCATATATGCTTTGAGTTGTTTCCACGCCACATCGGGGAGTCCAGCACCGATCTTCACACCTTTACTTGGCTCTTCGCCGAGGGGGATGAACTCGAAGTCTTCGACAGAGACGGGTCGAAGAGGATCCTATTCGCCATTAGGGGCCTCGACTCATCTTTGTCAAAGCGGATGTCGAGATCAATGGAGTCGACCTTTGGTGGAGCTTGTTGTTCTTTAACTTGAGCGGGTTTGTCTACCGAGGGAGCCGCAGTTGACGAGGAGCTCGTTTTGTTGGTAGGTCGTACCCCAGTGTCGACCATGTTTTATCCTTTGGAGGCCGCACTGAAACATCTCTCGGCAGTTGCGATGTCTCCATGAATGGTGGCGACGTGAGACCTCTTGGTGTAAAACTTCATCTTCAAATGTATCATGGAGGTTAACGCGGTCATCCCGGCCAGTGTTGGTCTCCCCAGGATGCAGTTGTAGAGAGAGGGGTAGTCGATCACCAGAAACCGCACTTTGACATGTCGGGATGCGGTTTTTTCCCAGAATGTGACAAATAGCTTGACAAAATCCCATGGCTTAGAGGTCGAACCGTTGAATCCTTGCAGGTTGGACCCCACGTATGGTGATAGATGGGCATTGTTGAGCTGCAGGGTATGGAATTGGTGGGTGTACATTACGTCGACGTAACTCCCTTCGTCGACCAGGATGTGATGTGCGTCGAAGTTGGCCATCTTCGCCATCACCGCAGAGGGATGTTGGAGTTGGGGGATCTGTCGGGCATCTCCTCGAGATAAAAGGTGATTGGCTCAGATTTTCCCCTGAACCTTTCAAGGGTTACAGCCTGGACCAGGACTGCATCTATCAGCTCGCTGAATTTTCTTTTTGTTGAATTCACTGAGTCGTCATTGAACCCCTCGCCAGATATGACCATGGCAGAGGGGAACTTCTCCCATCTGTTGTGGGTGAACAGAGGTTCGTCGTCTTCGATACCGTCGAGGATGTAAAAGTCCTCGGGCCTGGAGACGCAGAAGGCTACTTGGAGGGGACCAGACTCATAGGATGGTCGGGCATCCTCCTCAATTTCTTTAACCTCGTGGGTATCTCGGCGAGGGGAATTATTCCTCTTGTATTACCCGAGTCTCTCTGCCTTAATGAGAGTCTTGATGGCATCCTTCAGGTGGATGCAGTCTTCGGTCAAGAGACTGTGGCTCTGGTGGTATTAACAGTATTTTGTCATGTCGGCCCCGGGCTTAGCAAGTGTTGATTAAGGGCGCCTAACCCCTCCATCCTTGAATTCAGAATTGGAGCACTCTGTAAGGATACGCTCGCAGGAAGCAGTCAGCGGGGTGTATTCGATGAATCACCTAGCTAGTCATATATACTCGCGGGAGTCGCGAGGCTTCTCTTCCCTTCTCTTATCTCATATTCATCGATAAAGGCCTATGTCATTGTGTCGCGAGATATTAGTTGGTTTGTGGTTCCATGACTCACGGGCGTTGTTGGCGGCCTCTTTCTCCTCGTAGGTCATATAGGTCTCGATTTTGTCGAGGAGTGTTTCAAAAGACCTGGGAGGCTCGATGCCGACGACCTTTCTGAACTCAGTGCCCAGGATGAGTCCTCTCTCGAGCAAGTATCTCTTCATGTGATCGACACAGGGAACCTGGATGGCCTCGCGATTGAATTGATCAATATACTCTTTGAGGGTCTCATCGCTCTTCTAGATGATTGCCTCGAGGGCGGCCTCAGTTTTAGGGTATCAACGAGATGTTGTGAAGTTATTGATGAATTGGTTCTTTAGGCTCCTCCACGAGGTGATCAACCCGGGGGGAGGCTTTTGTACCAGTCCGTGGCTAATTTCCTCAATATCATGGGGAACAACCTGCATTTGATAAGGCCTCCTACATTGTGATAGTGGAGCATCGCCTCAAAATGGTCGATGTGGTCGACAAGGTCAGCAATGTTGTTGTAATTCTTCAAATGGGGAGGCTTCTCCATCCCTTTAGGAATTGGGTCCTCCATGATGGCTTGGGACAGCAGACTGTAAGGGTTGTCTTTCTCGCTTTTTTCTAGGAAGCGAGAGGGGGACTGGTTGTAGCGGCGTCTTTGTGTCGGTCCTGGGAACAAGGAGGATTCCTCGGCCGAGATTTTTTTTCTTCGTCGCCCCTATTCCTTTTATGTTCAGGGGATCATCGTTGATTGCACGGAGGGTGTGATCGCACTTCTTAACAGCTCCGGGTTGGGTCCTCTCCAAGGCGGGACCTCGGCCAGTTCGGCAGGGAGAAGGGCTACGAAAGTCGTTTCGTCTGTGTCTCCATAGGGGAGATCGGGTGCGGTCCTCATGTTGTCGGGGAGGAGGAGATCGGGAATCAAGTGTTTGGTGTTTTCTAGGGAACGGCGAGTCTGTTCGAGCATCATCAAGTGTTTGTCCAGTGAGAAGATCGTGTAGTGCATTTGGTTGATCTCCTTGAACAAGGTCTTGGTCGTAGGATCAGCATTCTCAAAAACGGGGATCTTCTGATACACATTAGGCTCATAATTCTGCTGAGGTTGGTTGGCATCGTCGCATGGTTGTGAACGGGTGGAAGAGGATGCGATCATCCCGTCCCTGAGGTCGTGCTCAACAACATTATTATTGTCAGTGTTAACATTATTGGTCGGCCATGACGATCAGAAGGTTAAGAAAAAGTTTCTTTGGTCTTAAGCAAATGAAATATGGGGAAGTTGGTTTCCCACAGACGGCGCCACTGGTCGCACCTGATCAGAAGGGATCGTCAAGGCCCATGAGCTTCGATTTGAGTAAGGGTTGAATGTGAAGTGGGGGAGGTACCTGCAAGATACTCTGATGCCAAAGTAAGGTTCAGAGCAAGCGCAAGTAAAATGTGAGAATATGAATGAGTGAATATTTGACCCTCTCAAGTGAGAGGGTTTTTATCTCCCCCAGTGCTGGGTCAAGGTCTCCAGTGTTAGGCCATGATAAGACCCAATGATGAAGATTGACATATTTTACGGGTGTATGGAGTCCAGCACGTGGCTTCCTTCATGGTCAGCTGCCCTGAGAAAATAGGAAAGTTGGACCCGTTATTCTCGGAGGATACGATGATGGCGTTATGGACACGCGCAAGTCACACTTCTCTAGTGGACATTGGGGAAATTCCTAACGATCCTTGATTTGGGCTGCATGCTTTTGGGTCCATGTAGAGACGTTGTATTAGGTCTCCCCAATAATGGGGCAAGTGCCGACTCAGTCCAGAACACCAATAACAATAATCATTGCCAGCTACTTCAATGGCAAGATCATATATTAAATCGGGAATTTTAAAACTATTTAAATCACCAAAACCATCAACTTCAGTATCTTGGAAAAATGACTTCATCAAGAAAATCTCCACGAACTGGTTACCGATGTCTTCCATAGTCTGTTTTTCATTTGAAAATTCAAAATAACCTTGTGCCATTCACAGTTGAATCAACTCATCCTTCTCAATTTTCCAATCCTTAGGATATAAAGAATAATAAGAAAAACATTGTCTTAGTTGAGGTGACAAGTTTTGGTAACTTAGTTTCAACACTGGAATGATGCTTTCTTCATCTTCACATAATTTCCAAAATTAACCTTGTAAAATAGAAATACATTGATTTTCTTCATTTTTACCCTATAATAGGCCTCCCAATGTCTGATTGCTAGTGGAACACCCCTGCACTTTTCTTCTATCTTGATACCAATTGGCTCAAGATTTTGATTCAGTCCTTTAATCTCATCCCCAAATGTAACAATTTTCTTTAACAAACTCCAATATTCTTGTGTATTCAAACCTTTCAGAGTATAAGGGACATTTACACCCATCGTTTGTGCTATAATTTTTCTACGAGTTGTCACAACAACCTTACTGCCATGAGCACCAAACATCAAATAAGTTCTTAGTTGAGCCAATTTTTCAAAAATTATGTTCCAAATGTTATCTAGGACTAACAAGTATTTCTTACCCATTAAACTATCACGAAGCATACTCTGCAACTTTTCCAGTGATAACTTATCATAATCTTTGATATCGGTTAATGACTTCAACATTTTTTTTATAATAATTTTGACATCAAAGTTATCGGAGACACGTACCTACATACTCTTTTTAAAAATATCTTTTACTTCATCATCATTGTATACCATTTATGCAAGAGTTGTCTTTCCCAAACCACCAATCCCAACAATAGCAATCTCAGAGACATTTTATTTCCCTGTGGTTGCCTCAACAAACTTACAATCTTGTTTTTATCGTCTTCCCTTCCAATGATATCTGATTCTAACACACATGAACTAGTATCCCTCTTTACATTGTTACTATATTCAACCACCACAACCTTTGGGTTTAGATTCAACTCAATCATATCTTTCTTAACATCATTAAATTTCTTTTGTATTTTTTCAATCTTATGAGCCATTCTACTGCGAAAACAAATCTTATTTGGAAAGAAGAAATCAAGTACTTGTGCCAGTTTGTTCATATGAGATTCATCAATTTTGTGTCTCATATCTTTGTTGGAAATCCACCAATACACTATGATGAATTTCGACCACCACTATGATGATTAGTTATGAAACAAACAAATAAAAGAACAATGGAGATATTTCTGCAGAATTTCTATTCTGCCCACAAACTGTGGAATCTTTATTATTCACTTTGCAACTGCAAAATCATGTGAATGACTTGATTACAATATAGGGTTACTCCCTCTATTTATAGATTTAGGTTATCTTGCTCCCTAAGCTAAACCCAAGCCCTAAAATATCTCTTTACTAAATCAAATCTAATCTAGATTTAAATTCAAATCTATTTAAATCTAAACAAATCAAATCTTCTTTTGACACCTATGAATTACAATTTAACACACCACCTAATTCATTGTGTCTAAACTGTCTATGTTCATCATGGCCTTTAGCTTTCTGCAGTGTTCCAAATTCATCTTCCCTTCTGCTACCTGCTCTCAAAGATAATGGAATCTCATTTCGATGTGCTTACTTCGACCATGTGCTATTGGGTTCTTCGCCAGATTGATAGCTGACATGTTGTCTATCTTCATGGTAATTGCTCCATGATTTTTCCCTGTTATCTCTTCGACCAAGTTCACCATCCAGGTTGCTTGACATGCACAAAGAGAAGAAGCTATGTATTCTGCTTCACATGATGATAATGCCACTACTGGTTCTTTTCTCGAATTCCAAGCAATTGTTGCACCACCTAGCATAAACACATATCCTGCTGTTGACTTTCGATCTTCAGCATCACTACACCAACTCGAATCAGTGTATCCCACTAACTTGCATTCTTTTCCTTTATCAACTGCAGGAAACAAAATGCCATAATCGAAAGTTCCTTTAAGATACCTTAGTATCCTCTTCACAGCTGCTAGATGTGATACCTTTGGCTTCTGCATGGATCTACTTACCATACCTACACTGTATGCTAAGTCAGGCCTTGTATGACAAAGGTATCTCAATGATCCAATAAGTCTTCTGTATTGGGTTGGATCAACATCATCTTCATCTGCATCTTTCGATAGTTGCAGTCTTGGTTCTGCAGGTGTCGAAGTTGAGTTGCATTCTTCCATCTCAAACCTCTTGATAATTTCTCCTGCATGTCTTCTTTGATGCATCATCAAACCTCTACTGCTCTTGTAGAATTCGATTCCAAGGAAATATGAAATCTCACCCAAATCAGACATTTCGAATTCCTTGCTAAGGTCAATTTTGAAGTCTTCGATCTCACTCTTGCAACTACCTGTTATCAACAAATCATCTACATAGAGACATAGTATAAGCAATTTACTCTTGCTTCTTCTTACATATACTCCATGTTCAGTTATGCACTTCTCAAATTCCTTCTCCCTTAGAAAACTATCAATTTTCTTATTCCAAGCCCTTGGAGCTTGTTTCAAACCATACAAGGCTTTATGTATCATGTACACCTTTCTTTCTTCGTCATGTTTCACAAACCCAACTGGTTGTTTAACATAGACTTCTTCATCTAAGGGTCCATTTAGGAATGCACACTTCACGTCCATCTGACATATGTGCCGACTGTTGATTTCTGCTAGACCAACAACCAACCTGATTGTTTCGATCCTAGCCACATGTGCAAAAACTTCATCGAAGTTTGTTCCTTATTTCTGTAGAAATCCTTTCGCTACAAGTCTTGCTTTGTGTCGAGTTACTTCACCTTTCGAATTCGTCTTCACTTTGTATACCCACTTGACATCAATTGCCTTCTTGCCTTGAGGCAATTTGACAAGTGACCAAGTATTGTTGTCTTCGATAGACTTTACTTCTTCGTTCATTGCTTTCACCCACTTCGAATCCTTTAATGCTTCAGCTGCATTAACAGGTTCGACATCTGCATAGAAAGCATAATGTACCAGCTCACCTTCATCATCTATCACATCATCTCATGTAATCACACAGTCTTGCAATCTTGCAGGCATGTGTCTTGTTCTTTGAGGTATGCTTGTACTGGGTATATTTGTTGGATCCTCTTGTCGAACTTCTCTTTCGACTTGAGTTTCTGGCTCTTCGAATAAGATTCCCACTGAATCTTTCTTGACATTTGCAGTCCAATCCCATTCTTTGAACTCATCTATGATCACGTCCCTGCTGATCATAATCTTCTTGTTCTCTGGATCGAACAACTTATAGCCTCCTGTCGAATGATATCCAACTAGGATCATTTGACTTGACTTGTCATCAAGTTTCTTTCTCAACTGATCTGGCACATGTCTATGTGCAATAGATCCAAATACTTTCAGATGACTTAAGCTAGGCTTCACACCAGACCAATATTCTTCTGGAGTAATTTCCTTCTAGCTTCTTTGTAGGACTTCTGTTCAAAATGTATGTTGCAGTCGAAACAGCTTCACCCCAGAACTCTTTGGGTAGATTCTTGCCTTTCAACATACTTCGCACCATATTCATGATGGTTCGATTTTTTCTTTCTGCAATTCCATTTTGCTGTGGAGTATAGGGTGGCACCACCTCATGCACAATCCCTTCCTTTTCACATAATTTGTCGAAGTCTTTCGACACATATTCTCCACCACCATCAGTTCTCAAAACTTTGAGCTTTCGACCACTTTGTCTTTCGACCATGGACTTGAACTTGGTGAATACTTCGAACACTTCACTTTTCTTCTTGATCAGGTAAGTCCATAGCTTTCGACTGAAGTCATCTATGAATGTAACAAAGTATTTGTTACCTCCCATCGAATCCACCTGAATTGGTCCACATACATTAGAGTATATGACTTCGAGATTAGCCTTCGATCTGCTTCCTGCATCCTTGCTGAAGCTGTTCTTGTGTTGCTTCGCCTGCACACATTCTTCACATACTTCATTTGGAATGTCAATTTCAGGCAATCCTGAAACCATATTTCTTCTCTTCAAATCTCTGATGTCTCTGAAGTTGAGATGACCAAGTCTATAATGCCATATCCATTCATCTCTGCTAGCTGCAGTCGAAAGGCACTTGTGTTCCATCACGTTTAGTTCAATCTTGAAGGTTCGATTCTGAGACATAGGAGCCTTCAAGATTACTCTTCCATTTGCATCAACGACACTCATCAACTTATCTTCGATTGACACTTTATAATTCGTTTCTACCAACTGCCCTATACTGAGCAAATTGCTCTTCATGCCTGGTATGTACAATACATTCGAAATTACTGACTTCTTGCCATCTTTCCTCATGATCATAACATCACCAATACCTTCAGCTGCTAGTGTGTTGTCATTTGCAAATTTTACCATATTTTTCGTTGAGGGTTTTATATTGACGAACCAGTCTTTCCTTCCAGACATATGTGACGAACATCCTGAATCCAAGTACCATTGGTCCTTGAATCTATCTTCATCTTTTGTTGTGACCATCAGCATCATCTCTTCTTCTTCTTCATGTTTTGCAAGCTTTGCATCACTTTCTTGATTCTTTCGTTTTTCTGGACAGTCACTTGAATAGTGACCATACTTTTGACAATTGTAACATTGAATGTGACTCTTATCAAGTTTTCGACCACCACCTCTTCCTCTGTTTGCAGCACCACCTCTTTGGTTGCCTTGGTGTAGTCTTCTTTGATTCGACACGTCTCCTTCGATTTGGTTTCCTCTACCATTCGATTTGTTGTAGCCACCTCTACTTCTGTCGAAATACTTTCCTTTGCCTTTGGTCTCTTTTGCTGAATGTGCCTGCAAGGCCACATCACTCTTCGATTTTCCTGCAGCTCTTTCGTTCATTCTTTGTTCATGGGATTCGAGCGTCCCTTGAAGCTCTTCCTTTGTCAATTTCGACAAGTCTTTCCCCTCTTCGATCGCCACCACTATGTGGTCGAACTTAGGAGCTAAGGATCTCAGGATCTTCGAAACAACAACTCTTGTTATTAATGTTTCTCCACATGTCTTGATTTGATTCACTAGTTTTGTAACTCTAGTGAAGAAATCAGATATGTTTTCACTGTCTTCCATCTGAAGCAGTTCATAGGTCCTTTTGTGAGTTTGTAACCTCACTTCTTTCACCTTCTCAGCGCCTCCAAAAGACTTCTCAAGGATCTCCCAAGCTTCTTTTGCAGATTCTGAATCACTGATCTTCTCGAAATTGTCTGGGCTGACACATTGATGAATTATAAACAATGCTTTATAACTTTGTTTCTCAGATTCTGTATATTTCTTCTTTTCTTCTTCTGAAGCGTTTTCGCCAAGCGCTTCGACTCTATCTTTTACAAGGTCCCAGAGGCCTTGACACCTTAATAGGACTTTCATCTGCTTGCACCAATTCTCATAGTTGTCAACTTTCAGAATTGGCAGCGTTGTTGGATAGTTTGCATTCCCATAACTTGTCATCGTGAATTCTTCAATCGTTCTTGATTGACACTTCCCTTGAATCGTAACACAAGCTCTTGATACCAGATGTTGAAAATCCACCAATACACTATGATGAATTTCGACCACCACTATGATGATTAGTTATGAAACAAACAAATAAAAGAACAATGGAGATATTTCTGCAGAATTTATATTCTGCCCACAAACTGTGGAATCTTTATTATTCACTTTGCAACTGCAAAATACTGTGAATGACTTGATTACAAAATAGGGTTACTCCCTCTATTTATAGATTTAGGTTAGCTTGCTCCCTAAGCTAAACCCAAGCCCTAAAATATCTCTTTACTAAATCAAATCTAATCTAGATTTAAATTCAAATCTATTTAAATCTAAACAAATCAAATCTTCTTTTGACACCTATAAATTACAATTTAACAATCTTGAATAAAAAATTCATCTAGCACATCTTCTTTGAGTCTTCTTATCCAGATCTGTATGACACAATTTTGTTGTTGCTTGTCCTCGGCATCAAGGAGCACATCTTTATCGGAGTCAACAGATACTATTGCATAAACTA